CTTGCTTACGGGTGCAAGATTAAACCGAAACAAACTCTTGCTTGCGGGTGCAAGATTAAACCCTCACAAGTGAATCTCAACTCACTCAACCCCTTTAAGGATTATTCCAATCCAAGAAGAATACAAAACCCTTGTAAGACAATTAACCCAAAAGCTTACAAGAAGAAGAAGAAGAAGATCCAGAACAGTTTCAAAAACAAACTCTATTTTTCTATATCACTGGAGCAATTCGTTCTTCTATTATTCATTTCCAGATCTGATTTTTTATGTCCTTTTAATAGTTGGTTAGGAGCCTTGCAATTAAAGCTCATTTAGCCTTTCAAAGCCACCTCACAATTGCCCCAATTAGGTTCCACCTATTTCTTCTGACTTGTCTTGGAGATTGCTAAGACATTTGGATCCCCTATGACCCATTAAGAATAAATGGATAGTTGAGCTGTCAAAATTTACCCTTACAGAATTTTTGCTTCGAAGCTAGAAATAGGTTCGAATCAAATATAATTGGTTCGAACCTAGAACTCTAAACAAGGAAGATATGATTCAATTCTAATCGTGGGGAAAGGTTAGAATCTTTGAATTAACTTTCCTGCACACTTAGCACAAAAATAGATTAAATTCTTTTGAATCATGGTTTTAAACCATCGGTTTAAGTACCATTTTGGTCCCTCAACTTTTCACTTTGGCACCAAAATTGTCCCTCACCTTTAAAAAGTACCAAATTTATCCTTAAACTTTCATTTTAGGTACCAAAACAGTCCTTCTGTCAGTTAAATGACAGGTGGCGTCAAAATGCCAGCAAATCAATTCTTTTTTTTGCTTAACTAACGACATGGAAAAAAAAAAGTATAGTTGGCATTTTTTTTATGAGTTGGCATTTTCATTTAATTTAAAAATAATAATTCTTTTTTTTTCACCCACGTCAGATTTTTTTCTTCCTCTTTCATTTTCTCTCTCCTTTATCTTTCCTTTTCTCTTACCTTTGCAAACCCAGGCTCTGGGTTTTCTCAAACCACCAAGAAAGTGATAATCGTCGCCGTCGATGACAGCGAGCACAGCGCCTACGCGCTGGAATGGACGCTTGATACCTCTGCAAACCCAGGCTTTCGATTTTCCCAAATGGCGGAGAAGCAAGTGATGATCATCTCCGTCAATGATGGCAAGCACAGCCTGGGTGTGAGTGTGGAGTGGATGCTCAATCACTTCTTTGTTCCTCTAGGTGATAGTGCCTTGTTCAATCTCGTCATCATTCACACCAAACCTTTTGCTACTATTATTTTCAGCCTTCTTCTT